CGTGTGTGATTGGGTGGGAGGGGGCAGGGGTTGCCTTTTCGCACGCAAAGGGGCGAGGGAATACTAACCCCGTAGGATATAAGGGTATTTAGGGGTAGTAGGGGTAGCCTATCTTATAAAAGGAGGAGAAGTATATGTGATTAGGTAGGAGGGGGTAGGGGTTGCTTTTTCGCACGTGAAAGGGCGAGGGAATACTAACCCCGTAGATAGCGGTATATAGCTTATTAATAGCTCGTGAGCTAGTATTATATTTAGTAGGGAGTATACGCGAGTATATCCTCGGCCCGGTTAAATATATTATCTATAGCGCGTATAAGTATATAGAGTCGTATTTCGCTTGCCGCGGGGCTCTTTACGATATAGCCCCTTTACTTACTAAGGATCGATCCTCTTAATACACGCACGAGCCTTAGAGGGGTAGCGCCGCCGACGCTACGATAATACCGAGCGGCCGTTTATAGAACCGCTAAGGCTATCCCGTATGCCTTAATTAAGGCGTTATCTCGCTAGTAGCGATAAAAGACTACTCCTTATTTTACCACCACGCGCGTATTGCTTTCTATTATATCCGCCTATCCTTAGCGACCTCTTACGTATAGAGGATCTAGTTGTTAAGGTTCGGCGAGCGCCGGGCTAGCGGCGGTAGCTATAGCTCTAGTGGACTATCCTTACGCGGCTAGTAGCTAGGGGGAGGCGAGCTCGTAGCGGGAGGCGTTACTAGCTAGAAATACGATTAGGTAGTTAGGTAGGGCTATAGCGGTAATAAAGATACCGGGAGAGATATAGTACGTAGGAAGGGGATATAAAATAATATATATATATAAATCCGTAGAATAGGTTTAGTTACGAGAGGGGAAAGATAGATAGTTTTTTCGTATCGCTCCTTTCCTTACGCTTATATTAATATAATAAGGTCGGGATCTATCCTAGCGTAGTTATAGATATATAGATCCTCTAGAGATATAGTAGGATATAGGGGTATTTAGGGGTAGTAGGGGTGGCCTATCTTATAAAAGGAGGAGAAGTGTGTGTGATTAGGTAGGAGGGGGTAGGGGTTGCCTTTTCGCACGCAAAAGGGCGAGGGAATACTAAACCCGTAAGAAAAGATCGCGAAAATAGATCGATTATATACTTAATAATCACCCTCTCTTCTGAATCCGTTAAAATTATCGAATTAGGCCTAGTTTCTGCTCTAGCCGTAAGACCTTGTAGTCGGCGATAGATTGTCGTACGAGGTATATTATATACCTTTATAGCGTGTCGGATACTTAATGACGCGTTTTCTTCAAGGGCTTTCAGAGCTAATATTACCCTAGATTCTTTTGTAAGTTTATTTATTGTTTGATTGTAGTGATAATTAGCGAGGAATGTTAATGTACGCGATAGGTAGTGAAAGTAGCCCGCTCGCTTGGGTAGTCCGCTCGTATGTGGATTACGTTATACCTTTTCTTCCTACTTAATCTATCTTACTATTATTATAATAATATTAAGAGGGCGTAGCTAGATCGCTATAAGTACGGGGTCCTTAGTAACTATATTAATCTCCTAACTTTATTAGAAGTATTCCTCGGCTATAAAGGTTCTCCTCTCAGTACGCCCCTTATATACGTGACCTAATCGGGGCTTCTTAAGCTATACCTAGCTATAGGGCTAGTGGCTTCAGCCACCCCTAATGCTTACAATAACCTTAGTATGTAATATATGTCTGACATATAATAATAGTATAAGAAAAAAAGACCCAGCTTAAATTTATATTAGACTAGCCTTTATCTAGCGCTAATTTTATATATTTATATAAATTTCTTTTTATTTCCTCATATAAAACCTAATATACATTTCTTATTTAGATTCTTGAAATTTTTTTTTTTTAAAATTTAAATTTCTTTAATTAGTTTTCTATACTTGTATTAAGCCTAGGCTTTTATTCTATAAGCCCTGAAATTTAATTGATACCTCAAAAAGTATAAATAAAATCCCGCTAAGGGATATAGCTTATATTAGCCCGACCGCTAGTATACTTTCTATCTTAACGTCCTCTATGTATTTCTTCTCAATTATTTAATAGACCCCAAGCGTTTTACTAAATTAGATAGCACCTCACTAAGCAACGTTTTAAATTAAGTCAACTCCTGAACGGGAGGTAAATTAGTTTGTAAAGGAAATGAACGTTTTGGTACAATATATTTAGACACTTAGTCCAACCCTACTACTTAGAATTACACTATTGCCTGTGGATCCGGGCGTTAGGAGACCACCTGCTATTATCCCATACAGGCACAGAACCCCCCACTCATCAAAGATAAAAGAAATTCAGTTGTAGGGCTTCCTCGGTGGGTTCAGGTCATCTGGTCCGGAGCTTCGGTTTCGAACTTTGCTCTCATCCCGTGCGCTCAATCTCGGCGGCCTCAACCTCCTTGTTGGTCTGAGCTTCGTCCAGTCGTTCGTCCAGATCCAGCCTTGTCTGCTTGAGCTTCTTGGATGAGCCAATAACAATCCAAGATCCAGAGAAGAGACGGTTCATCTCCTCCAAGGGCAGCCTCTTGGTCTCGGGCATGAAGCACCAGAAGAACAATGCGTTAGAGAGGTTGCAGACAACGAACAGGATGAAGTATCGGTACCCAGAAGAGTCAAAAGCAGGGGCTGTGACCTGTCCGATGAGCGTATTGAAGGCAAATGAAGTCATGACTCCGATTGAAACGCCCTTGGAGCGGGTCCTCGTGTCGAAAACCTCGGCAGGAATAATCCATGAGAGCGGGCCGCAAGTGAAAGAGAAGGTAACTTGGTAAATCCAGTTGGTGACAATGAAAAGCCAAGCGAGAGAGTTTTGCAAAGACAGCGAGGAATTGGGGAAGACTGCGACAATGGTTGTGACGCTAATCCAGCAGACACAACTGACAAGGTTTCCAATGATTAGGGGCCATCGCCGACCAATCTTGTCAATGAAGATGACGGTGCAGGCCTGTGCCACAATAGACAAGCAGTTGCTGATGGCCTGGTATTTCAGTGACTCGCTAGTTCCAATGTTGACAGACTCGTAAATCCGCGGAGTAAAGTACTGGATGGCGGAGACACCTGTCATCTGCGTAGCGGCCTGAATGGCGCAGACAAGCAAGAGCCGTCGGAAAGTAACCTTGTCTTTGAAGAGTTCCATGTAGCCCTTGGCTGCGAGTTCATGCTCGTTCGCAATGGCGGTCTGGATCTGCGAGTATTCCGCTTGCACCCAGGCGTTGGACTCATCGCCATTGGCGTGCAGCTTCGCCAGGGTCGCGAGACCCTCTTGCTCCTTGCCGTGGTCAATAAGCCAACGTGGCGACTCCGGGAAGAAGAGGATCATGGCGCCAAGAACGGCAGCAGGAACAACTTGGATTCCAAGTGGAATACGCCACTGCTCCGAGCCAGTGAGATTCTTGGTCGTTCCGTAGGTGGTGAAGGCTGTTTGGGAGTTGCAAAGTCAGCTCGAAATTCATGACTTGACTTCTATCACACAACAAGGGTTGCGTGGAACATAGCACTCACTCGCAACACAAGAGCCAATGCCCAGCATGAGTTGCTGGAGGCCCGTAACACGACCACGAATGGTAGGGTGAGAAATCTCTGCCTGGTACATTGGCACAATCATGATCAAGATACCAACACCCAGGCCTGCGATAGCTCGGCCAGCGTATAGCCAGTCAATAGTTTGACCACCGGCCTGGAAAGCTCCACCGATACAGAAGATGATGGATCCAATCAGGAGGGCCAATCTGCGACCCAGGTAGTCGCCAAGGGGTCCAGCGAAGAACGCGCCAAAGAAACCACCTCCGGTAAAAAGGGACACAACTGCGCCTCTAAAAACCAAGTCAGAACTCAAGTATCCACGACAGTAGATGTCATGCCCTTGTGAGCGTAATGGTAATTCGCCCGTACGCTTCACAAGCAGTATGCACCCTGGGAATGGAAAAACTTACGACTCGGCATCGTTGGGCTGAAACTGGTCGATGAAGGACGAGGAGGCAATGCTGCCTCCTATGACACCAAGGTCATATCTGTTGTCATTAAAGCATTAGCAAAGTTTCGAAACTCGACATGGATGGCTTGGTGTCGCCAATGGCTTGGCTTGTTTTATGGTGGGTGCCGAGGAGTAGAGCGCTAGGGTAGCTGGTTCTCTTACCCATAATTGAAAGAACCCAAAGAGGCAAAGACGCCAACCAGAAACTGCACGGTGGTTAGCCTTGTGGCCAGCTCGTTCAGGGAAAGGAAGGATTTATGATCACAAAGGGATTGAGGACCACATAGCGCGTACCTGATAGACCTTGGGGGGGATCATGATGGTGCTTATGCGACGAGCTGCTGCGACCAAGCTAACCAATAGATGAGCTCTGGTGGGAAGCTAGGCAAGATGAAAAGATAAAAGTATATTTGCGCAATTCCAAGCGGCCCATGGACAGACGACGCAAGAGTGCAATAACAGTATCCAAGGTCCAGACTGGTCTCGACGTTACATTGATGAATGTGGTAGCACCTTTCAAGGTATTTTATATCCCAAGCCATCGGCGGGAACTGGTTTGTCTCGCTACGAGCCTGTGCCAAGCCCGACAGTATTCCACATTACCTGTTAACGACTTGATAGCCGGTCCAATCAAGTTCATCCCGCCGATTGACTTAAGTCTCGCTACGTACTCAGGCCGCACTCGGTCCACAGTGGGTTGATTTTAGCGTCTGGGCTACGCTCGTGGCGAGCTAGCTCACCTGAGTCGGCCCACATCAGCTCCACACCACTGTTGGATAGGAGGGGCGGAACAGTAGAGAACAGGGGACACGCTAGTCAGTCGGAAACAATGTGCTACAAAGGCAAGCAGCGTGGTTGACTCACAGGACCTAATAAAACCGAGATTCGCGACACCTCAGTATCTTCTAGACTGTCGTAGTGTCGCAGATCCACATTGGACCAGGATCATGGCCAATTACAGCTCTCTGTATCTAGGATACGTTGAAACTCACCAAAATTGCCCGATAGTGAAAGTACCAGCAACGTTCGTTATGACATAGAGCAATATCACGCGTTAAATGGCCCTTTCGTGTGTTATGCCCCCCGCCCCTCAGCATATTGAGGTCATCGCCAACCTCTAAGCGGACGGCGGTTTTTGCGCATATCACCTACGCGCCATCCCTAAGACACTATGCAAAGGGGTTTTCCATTGAAGCTATGAAGGAATTGATTGTATGAGGAACTAAGTATAACGCGTCTCGATCGCGTTATTGTTAGCGAAGACGTACCTCCTTAACTGTCCGGGGTGTGTGGGGGTATGGATCCCTTGAGGCATTACGACAGTCTAGGAGATGCGCAAACGTGAGTACGGGGGGGGGCCCTTTAACTGTAATTCGACCATCCAGCCGCACTTCCTGATCCACCTGCCCCCGACACCTCTCGCTACCGCGATTGAACTAATAGTACACATAACACTGAGAACGCCTTAGTATCACAGAAGCTATAGCAATTATCGCGAGATTAAGCTAACGCCCCTATATTTACGATCAGAAATCGCTGTAGTTAGGGCTATAGCGAGATACATAGATCAAAGCTACAATATAGTCTTTATTGTTTTGAAGCCTATCACCTGAGACTTTAAGTTATAGTGACTAACGAACGACGGCTTTTCCTTCAGGTAGTAGCTAAAGTATATACTAAATAAGGACCTTAAGCCTACGGCTACGGCTTCATAGTCCTCCGGCCTTTCGACGTCGAAGTCATGACAGATATCACTCGAAGGGCAATGCCCGATCCTTGAACAAAGTCAAGTGATAGTCAAGAAATGGTTTCCCACCCGCACATGCGATCCAATCGCATTGCATTTATCGCAGCTCTTGCCATCGACTCCAAGAACCAAGGCTTGGTTCCTGCGGGGGTGTTCTTCCGCGCCAGTAATAACCCAATGCCTTTACTCCAGCTCTTCTCCGCCCCCCAACCAATTGACCGTTTCCCCCACACAGGAATGTCGTCACCGTTCCAATGTCAGCGAACTGCACTAACAATCGACCCCACATCCTCGTACTGCGTCTCAGACGCGATCCGGCAATCACCTATTGATCACCGATTGGCCAACGACGCTTGTCTTGCTATGCACTAGGAACGCCTGCCATGTGTCTCCAAGCTGGCGGAAAGCAAATCGCATATAAGTAAACGTTCACGCGCACGACTCACCTCAACTCACCTCACCTCACCTCACCTCACCACAGCACACACAACCACCCATCATGAAGTCCACCCTTACCGCAGCTCTCCTAGCGACGTTGGCCAGCGCTCAGCAGGGTCTCCAACCCCCCGTTCAGACCAATGTGACCGTCTTTGCGCCTCCCGAGAACTACACTATCCCCAAGGTGCTGTACGGCCGCGTACGCGCGCTCGAATGCCCAGGCAACGACGTTTTGCTCGCGACTTGGGAGAACTATGTAAGCAATATGAACACACCTTCATAGAAAACAGCTGACAAAACAGCTCCCTGTTGATGGTGAGAGCGAGGGCTGTCCTCCTGACTGCCCGGAGAACCCGTACATCCCTATCTACGAGTCATTCGACCAAGGTCAGACGTGGGCTGAGCGATCGCGGGTGTACGACACCCAGAATGGCTGGGGTTTGCGCTACCAGCCGGAGCTTTTCGAGCTCACGGAGCAGATTGGCGATTATGAACCGGGCACATTGCTCGTGGCAGCCAACTCGATCCCGGCGGACTTGAACGGCACAAGAATTGACATCTACTTCTCCACCGACGAGGGCCACACATGGGAGTTTGCTTCCAATGTCGCTGAAGGCGGCTATGCCGTCCCCGACAATCAGTACGACCCGATCTGGGAGCCGTTCATTGTGACTCACGAGGGTCAGCTCATTGTCTACTATGCGGACCAACGTGAGCCAGGCACAAATGGCACCCTGGGTCAGAAACTCTCGCACCAGGTCACGGATGATCTTCAGAGTTGGGGACCCGTCGTCGAGGTAAGACACTTATCCTTCTCATCAATGCGTGCTGACCATTTAGGATGTCCGCTACTCTGATCCCCTTCAGCGCCCTGGCATGCCGGTCCTCGCGGAGCTGCCCAATGGCAAGTGGATATACGTCTTCGAGTGGCTGAATACCGACGTGGTGGAGAACCAACCAGGCGAGCCGGCATTTGAGTTTTATTATCGCATCGCCGATTCGCCTTTGGAGGTCGCCGACGCCGAGGATGTCCCTCTACTGCCTTTCAATTCTGATTCACAGCCTCGCGGCACGCCCTACGTTGTCTGGACCCCTGCTGGTGGCGAGAATGGCACTCTGATTGCAGGCGACAACTACCACACCGGCATCTACAAGAACACCCAACTTGGTGCACGCGACGCGTGGGAGTACGTCGAGACACCTGCTGGTCTAGCCTACTCGCGCTCTTTCCTCGTCCTGCCCAACGATCCTTCGCGCATCATGATCATCGCCCCAGGCCCTAACCCCGGCGTTGGCGACAACATCGTCTACGTGTCCACAATTGACATTGACGACGATGAAACGCCATATCCCGAGCGGTACACCGGTCATCAGGCCACAAGCGGAAAATGCGCGAGCAGAGGCGAAGATGCTGCCCCTACAGACAGCACTCCTACCCCTATCGCCACACCACCTGTGCAGACTGCTCTTGCAGACAAGCTCGCGACTAACGGGGTTGCATTTGCCGCTGTGCTTGGCGCTGCGGCTCTCCTGTGAACAACAAACGGATACAAATAGTCTAGCCATTATATCTACGCAAATAGAGATGGAGCTTGAATATGCAGACGACAGATTAAATTATCATGTTCTGCCCCACTCATCAGTGTGCCAACAACCGTCATGCGGTTTGCTTCATTAAATTGGCATTATCTTAATTCGCTATACAATATAACATACCTGAGTTTGCTGAGAAAATCTATGTAAATCGCACTAATAAGGAGACGTGCGGATGAAGATAGATTAGCCGGCTAAGGCTGAGTATGCACTTCAATGATACTCTTGCGCTAATGCAAGCCTCGCATAGGGATGTTGCGTAGGAGTATCAGAACTAGGATTAAAGAAGATAGTGGAAAGATATATAATAACGCGAGTTCGCTATTAGGCACTAAGAGAAGGGGCTACTTCGCTACTACATAAATCTTTAATCTTCCGAGAAAAGCTCTACGGCTATAAAGACTTTTTCACGTTATATATATAACTTAACTTAGACTTCTATACTATACTTAGCTAAAAGGGGTATAGCCCTAGATACCCGAAGTTATATAAGAACCTTACTATTATAGATATATTTAATAAAGTGCTCTGTTTTATAATACTATTATTAGTGCTTACATAGATACTATAACGTGATTGATAAGCGAACCGCCTAGATAAGCGAACCGCCTATTTTCCTAAATCCCTATAACAAGATCTTTAATTAAAACATAATAGATTATTCGATTAGTTCAAACTAATCGCTATGCTTATCTCTAGATACCTCTATCTTACCCTAACATATTCGTGAATTATAGCCGGCCTTCCCGCTTATACTATAATGCCTTAGAGCTAGCTGCACCGACCTTGCCCGACTACCTCTCCTTAACGATTTAGCTACTAGCTACGAATCTATATCCTTCTGATTAATTAATGCTCGACCTTCCTCTACTATTATAGTCCATCTATTTCGTAGGCGGGTCTTTTTCTCTCTCCGGCGCCGGCTAAGGATATAGTTAGTATCTCGAAGATCCCGGACCTCTATCTTTAATAACGCTATCTCGTACTAATATACCTTTAAACCCTTAGTTATTGATATTATAGCGTTAATTATTAATACTAGGGAGCTACTTTTATATCTCTTAATTCGATTTTTAAGGTAAGTAGACTAAGATTTAGTCTCCTTAATTATCTTAGGGGTCTTTAAGACCTAAGGGTTAGGAAGCTCTAGAGTCCCCTTAGGAGACGTTAGAGTATATAGCTTTATATCTAGCTTCGAGATTATATACTCTATATCTAGAGGGGTAATTCTAGCCCCTCTAAAGCCTCCCTTAATATTACTTTCTATTGTGGGCTAGGCCCTGTTGGAATAACTTGGTAGCTCAGATTGAGTCTATCTAACGATGAGGTAGGAAAGGGAAAAGAATAAGGAAATTGCTGGCCCCTTTCCCGTGAATACGTTGCGATGCCCGTGCGTCCTCGAAGGCTCGCACTACGTGTTTAGGTAGTCTGGGCTAGGTCTCGTACCCAGCCGCAAGCAACTAGTAGAACCGTAACACTTTCGGTTAATATAGCTCGGAATATAGCGTGGAAGGTATAAAGAAACTTAGTCTTTAAAACGTGTGTTATAGAGTATTTAATTAGATACTCTATTTCTCGACCGTATGCTATTTTAAGCGGCCTAAAGCAGCCTATATTAAGAGGCTAGAGTAGGTGAGACGAATAAGGAGGTATATAAAGCGTAATAATCTTATTCTTCTTATAATATACCTTAAACTCGGTAGAGTAGTGGCTTTTATAGCCGTTAAGGATTAGAAAATAATAGGTATTATTCGATCGCTTCTTTATATATTAATTAAAGTACTTTAGCTATAGGAGACCTATAGTATTATCGGTCTAGCCGTTTTTTATAGTTACGATAGCCTAATTACTAAGGAGAGTGCTTTCTTAATACTAGCTTAAGAGGTGATATTAGCCTATAATAACGATAAACGGCGGCGCTACCTAGCCCTATATAGAGATCGATTAAATAACTATAACCTATTCCCGGTTTCTAGGCTAGACTCTTTTCGGGTTCTTACGCCTTTCGGCGCCTATAATAACTATACCGCTTGTAATAACGCCTATTATAAAGCCTATCTCGTCGAAGTTATAGATATTATCTAATTAGATACTATATTTCGCGGTTATATTCGCTATAAGTTAAAACCACGTGTTTATAGCGACTAGATCTTCGTATTTAGCCCTCTAGTAGTTATATCTACGAAAGAAACAGGTCTTAAGCTTTAGTTACCGCCTAATAAAATTCCCTACCTAGCGCTTACTAACGGGTAACGCGTCGCGGTCGATATATAATAGATTAGCTATTTCTTTAATATTACTAATCCGAGGGGAAAATCCTCGCGAATCTAGATCGAGTATATACTCGACTAGCTTCTATTCTTTAAGATCGGATAGTTTCCGCGAATTAGCTATTATATCGCGTCTTAATTAAGTTCCGTGCTTACGATCTCTTAGCGTCGTGCGTGGAATATTATAGATCTTAGCTACGCGTCGTATACTTAATTTTAGGTTAGTTTAAAGCGCTTGAATAGTAAGAAGGGTATTAGCTTTATTCCTTTAGTCTGAAATTATTAGTTATTATAGAATAATTAATTAAATAATAATAATAGATAATGATAGGAAAGTGGGCGATTCGCTTATTAATCACGTTATATTTATAACGAAAACACTATATAGCTGTTAGAAACTAGGTTTAATAAAGGGAGTGAGAAAGTATATAATATCGAGAGGGCGCAGCTAGATCGCTACGAGTACGGGGTCCTTAGTGACTATATTAATCTCTTGATCTTCCTAGAAGTATTCCTCGGTTACGAAGGTTCTTTCTTTAGTGCGCCCCTATGCACGTAACTTAATCGAGGCTTCCTAAGCCACTCCTAGCTATAGGGCTAGTAGCTTTAGCCACCCTTAATACCTATAATAACTTTAATATATAATATATATCTAATAGAACGCCCCTCTCTATATATACTATCCTCGGTATCTATATATACGCGGCGTATTTGTAGCGACTATATTAGGTGTCAGGGGGGGTCGGTCGGCAGGTAGGACGGGGAACACTCGGTCAGGCTGATCTGGTCTATTGCTACGGATAGGCACTCCTTAGGTAGGGCAGGCTCTATGTATAAGACGTAGCTCGAAGAGCTATAACAGAAGACGGTCGGGATCGCGATAAAATGCAAAGGCAGGCGCGAGTTTACGTGACTACTAGGTGCAGGGTGGGTCCCCGCTCTTAACCAGCTGTGATAATACGCCCCCCTTTTAAGGGCGAGCTCTTGCGAGTATTTATTAAGGACTAGGTTTATCGGGATATCGGCGGTAGTAGTTAGCGACGATCTATTGCGCGTTCTCTAGATACTCTGCGGGTTCTTCGGTCGGATTATTATACCTAACCTACTTTATAGTATACCGTAATCGTAGGTTACCTCGGCCTCTTCGTTCCTAGCGGGAATCTACTATCTCTTATACTACAAACTCTTTAGCCTTATTAACTTTAATAGGCGGCGGGGGTGCGATACATTATCCGGGATAGGGGTTATTAGTAGCGGGTCGGAGTAAGTTAACGTAGAATATAGGGTATACTCTTATATTTATAGGTAGTTCTAGTTTATAAGCGTACGGCGATATAGCTTTCTCGACCTTTAAGGGGCCGATATTCTTCTAGTCTAGTTTCTTCTACGGCCGTAGGGTTCGTAGGTTTCGGGCGTCTAGCTAGACTAAGTCTCTAGTACGATACGTGCGGGTAAGTCGGCGGTTCTGGTTCGCTTGGTTTTCGTAGCGGGCTTGGCGGCGGTTGATTCGGACTATAGGTGTTTATTGATTTGCTTTATCTTACGAATAAAGCTCTCTACGTCCCGGGAGGCGGGAGTATTAGCGGTAGGGATATCTGGTTCGAACCCTATCCGGGGGTGGGAGCCGTAGTTAGTAAAGAACGGCGATATACTAGTAGTCTCGGATTTCTAGGAGTTAGTAGCGAATTCAGCTAGCGGGAGCTAGGTAGACTAGTCGTCTTGTAGATAAGATACGTAGGATCGTAGGTATTGTTCTAGGATAGTATTAAAGCGTTCAGTCTAGCCGTCCGTTTATAGGTATATAGCGGTTAATAATAGGCTCTTAATCTATAGCTGTCGGTTCAAGCTCTTCTAGAACTTAGAAATAAACTAAGGGCCTCGGTCGGATATAATAGTTAATAGTAGGCCGTGTAGCTTCTAGACATAGTATAGGTATAGACAAGTAGTCTTAGCCGAATCGTAGGTTACTTTATAGGGTATTAAGTATCTTATCTTCGTTAGATAGTCTACTACGACGAGGATTATATCGTATCCCTAGCTCGGAGGTAGGTATATAATAAAGTCTATTAACACGTCTCTCTAGGCGCGTTCGGGGATCGGTAGCGGCTTTAGGACTCCTTAGTAGGCGTCTCGGGACGGGTTAGACCGGCGGCAGGTATAACAGTTCTTGATCTATCTTTCCACGTATGCTAGTATGCCTAGCTAGAAGTAACTTTTAGATAGGATATCGTAGGTGCGGGCTCGTCTAGGGTGTCCGGTAACGGGTGACTTATAATAGCGGCGGAGTAGTTCAGCCTTTAGTTCGTCGTAGTTAGGGACGTATAAGCGGTCTCGGAAGTATAGGCGGTTATGGTTCTCGGTATACTTAGATAGTGTGATACGGGCATAGCGTCGCTTGCCTTTGCGGATCGTTTCTTAAATAGATTCTAGGATTTTATTAGCGGTATAGCCTTTATTAAAGAGGTCGGATAAATCGGCAGGAAGTTCGGTTAGTAAGCGAGCGGCGTGGAACCTTACCCTCGGGTCTAGGTTCTCTCTCTTTAGTACTATCTAGCTCTAGTAGAGAAGGCGTTTATCCCCCTCCTTTAGGAGATCCTCTAACCTCCTAGTTAAAGCGTCGGGCTTAGTACCTTACTTCCCGGGTCGGTAGGTGATCTGAAAGTTAAATCGTGA